AGACATTATGTATATCTCAGCTGTATATAAACACAAATATTGTGCATCTACAATCTCTGTCTTTGCCTCCGCCGACAAATATAAAATAGCTGTACACTTTGTCTTTATGTATAACAGTTTGACTCTTAAAAACATCTTAAATAACTCTTAAATAAAACCTCAGTCCAGAATTTTCCAAATTTGCAAAAAAAAAAATTTTCTTTTTTAACGGGAACTGTCAAAAAAAAGTACCATTAAAATAGACCATATCATTTATTCAGCATTGTTCAGTCTTAACTGACTGAAAGTCACTATAAATCTGTTCAGTGAAAATCTTATCTCTCAAATCTCATTTATGATTCCACATGTGCTGTGTTTGGTTACAAATGACATGAAACCAGGCACGACACATCTAAAGGGCCATATCTGAAGTGAATTTGTGCGCTCTGGTGGAGGGTGATATTATAGTAAAGACGACTGTAAACTCTTCAAAAATTATCCTTTGTTTTCCACTGAAAAAAATACAAGCAGGTTTGGACAACATGGGAAAATTGTGCCTCTACCTATGCAAAACTCCAAAAACATACCTATACATGCAATTCACTAGAGTTTCCAGTTGAAATGAACTAATGGCGGTAATACAATAACAACAACATTCATTCTTTTTCACACAAATGATGATCATGGTGCCGATTATCAATTAATAAACAATTATGCATAGTTACTTGAGGTCTATGATTTAACCTTTTTTTATTTTTCTATAGTGCAAGAATTGTAAACTAATACATTTCACATCACAGAATCAGCTCCATATGTATGTTTTTTGTTTTTTTTGACATTGTAAACTTGCTCAGTCGCTCACCTGGTACAAGTGTTTGACTACACGTCCCATGAAACATAGTCACAGTTAAATGGCAATGGCATGGTTGCTTCTGCAAATGTGTTTTTATCTCATGTTTGATTTGTTAAGACTGTCTAGGTTTAGTGTGGGTGGTACGTTATTTTCAAACACGATAGGGTATTAACCTTTTAGCAGACATTTCATTTACAAACTGCCATAAAACATACAGTACAACAATCAATGTAATAAAACTCTGCCACATTCACATCCATCTGTTTTGGATCAAATTGAACATGCTTTTTATGCCACTCACTGGACTTTTCTCTTTGAAAGTCCCCTGAAATGTGCAAGAAGTGCTGTAATATCATTTTGTAGATATGTTACCACAGGCACATGAATCCAATGAGTCTGAGTTGGGTTTGGAACAATATGAGGGAGATTAAATAATGGCAGAATTTTCATGTTGGATGAATTATTCATTTTTAAAAAAAAATCACCACAGCCAAAATAATAAATAAATATTATAAATGTTTCTCCTCTTCTTAGAAAATGGTGTTTGGCCCAGAGCATAAATACGATGTGGATGAAGACTTAGTACATTTGCCTGTGGTTTGTCTGTACTTAATGGCCACCACTATACGGCAGAACAACAAGACAAGGCAATAACAGACATACATAAATGAACCAATTACAGTTGAGACCCTTTCCATCGCAAAGTCTTCCTCTCCACCCTTTCCACCTTCTACCTTTAACCTGTGGTGTTGTATATGTACAAGACAGACTCGTTTGCTGGACAGAATAATGTTGTTTTAAAGATTGTATCAGCACTACATGCTTTCTAGTCCAGCCTTAATAATCAGACCTCAACTGCAGAGCTCTCAGTGACGGGTGATGAAAAGACCCTCAGACAGACTACTGACAAGTGCCTTGAGCTTCAACTCAATTGTGTGATTTGCCATGATTATCAGTCATATAGCGCTGACGCCCACCCTCTTCATGATGTCCGCCTGCATACGGGTATAACCTGGTTGTACTCCAATGTATTTTTCTTTTGCCTTCATTCCAAAATGAGCACATTTTTCTTTTGTTTCCACTCTCGCTTCTCCCTCAATCTATCATTTCCTGTTTTCAGGTTTGCTCATAAAATAATGCTTAGAAAATTGAATTTTTACTGCTGCAATTTCAGCACATTTTTGTCCGCTCCAAGTTGCTGGTGACCACTACTGCTAAATGACTGTATATTTCTTCTTATCTCCAGCGAGGCACTGCTTGTGTGAGAGAAGAGCTTTCAAATATTGAGAACATTTTGAAGCAGGGTTGAGTATAATAATAAGGCTCTTGTAAACTGAATTTGTTTCACCACAAAGGATGTTGAATTGGAATTTGAATTGAGATGACGGAAAGAGGAATTTACAGAACTGCAAAATAATAATGTAGTTCCACTAAAGAGAAATTCCATTGGTCTAATAGAACAGAATGAGCAAGAACAGATTCACTTATGATTCAGTTTCAGGTTTCCATCTTGTAAGCTACTCCATTTTGAACACTCTGGGGTAAATTAGAGTATTTTGGAAAATACAGTGTTTTTAGACCATGGAAAACAAAAGTAAGTAAATAAATAAATATTATAATGAAAATCAAATAGATACACACTACTTGAAATAGTTCAATAATTATTACACTATTTGAAATAATTCAGATTCGTTAATGCTTCTGAATAGTGAATTGGTGGGTTTTTGTTAAATGTGAGCCAAAATCATCACAATTAAAAGAACCAAAGACTTAAACTACTTCAGTCTGTGTGCATTGAATTTATTTAATACACGAGTTTCACAATTTGAGTTGAATTACTGAAATAAATGAACTTTTCCACGACATTCTAATTTATTGAGATGCACCTGTAAGTCTCTTATTCACACCAAGGCTGCATTTATTTGATCAAAAATACAGTAAAAATAATATTAACAATAAAATAATAATAATAATATCACATTTAAAATTTATATAAACATTATTACCATTTAAAATAGCCTTTTTCTGTTTTAATATATTTTAAAATGTAATTTATTCCTGTGATGCAAAGCTGAATTTTCAGAAATCCTTCAGAAATTATTCCAATATACATACACACATACATATATAGAATAATTTCCGAAGGGTTTCTGGAAATTCAGCTTTGCATCACAGGGAATAAATTACATTTTAAAATATATTTTACAAAAAAATAAAGATTTTTTTTTAATTGTAATTTATATATAAATTTAATATTTATATACATACATTCTGTTTTAATTCCATTTTCTTAACTTCAAATTTAAATTACAATTCTGCTTTACCTATTCAAGTTCTTCAAGGTCTTAATATCTTTAATCTTAATATGAACATCACAGAGTTAATCTTGATAAACTACACGTCTTGATAATGGTTGTTTATGTTTTCCCTGCACTCTTAATACATCTTTATCAGTGTGCAACTTATAATTTTCGAATTATTCAAAGTGAAAGCACCTCGTATTAAAGCTAAGCTCGACTCTACTCTGAGGCAGAGAAGAATTTGCGCTCAATTAGTATGTTGATTAAAGCTGTCTGTGTAGAAGCACCTCAGTACCAGGAGAATAGAACAATTACTGTCATTGTGACAACCCACAGCTGCTGCCGTTCCTTTTTACACAATGTCATTTTCCAGACATCCCGGCGACTTGAGGACTCTCGCTGTGGCTGTCAGCTACAAGCTTATAAATTAAAATGATATTCCACTTTGCACAAAAAACTGCCTTTTGTAATAGAATAAAAGGCTATTAAAACGGCCCACAGTGGTGTCTGATAGATCTTTAGTTTAAAATGGTGAGGTTAGAAATGTCATTTAAGCACCTCCTCTTTGCCTCCACTCAGAGCATTGATTACCTCACAGAGAGATATGTTATCACATCTGAATGCCGCACTCTGGAATGAAATGGATCAGGGTGCACAAAATTATGAGTTGAGCTGTCTCTTGAGATGGCCATGATTATGCCCAAAATGCTATTTCCATCAGATGTGGAAATAGATCAATGAAATGAGGTCATTTCCTGTCTTAGCTCTCCTTACTGATGGTTTCATCAGGACCACAGCAGTGAGAATCTCCTCTCTCGAGACTTGACCTGATAAATAAGAAGACCTCTAGCACAGCCACCCATTAACATGGGAGGAGGAGCACATCTATTACAGTCAAGGACGGGACTACCGATCAATACATGCTAACATTTGTGTTCGTCCACCCTGCTCATTACAATCTGAAAAGAAAAGACCAATGGCAATCATCTATGACTGCTGATGCCCAGAGTCTAAGGCATGAAACTAATTACAGAAGTAAAGTAATGCATGACCTGCATGCTGTGGGTTTACACCATGTGCTTTTAAAAATGGCTGATTCACACATTCAGTTAAAACAACCAAGCCAACACAGAAAGTGAAATAGGAGAGACCAGGGGCAAGTTGTCACAGCAGTAACTATAATGTTTACAGTCAAAAGACAAATTGCATAAATGCTTGTTTTCTTTGGCAGTGGTTTTTATACAGTATGTTGGTATCAGACACCTACTTCAAGTTTTTGTTTCATTATTCGTCATGTTTTTATAATAGCTGTTGGGTAAACAAGTGAACATAATAAACCCAAACGGGCAGACAAGAGTCAACTATATATTAAATGATTTAACAGAAAGGTTTAACTTTTCTCAAGACTTATTTATTTATTTATTTATTAATTATTTAAAATGTCAGGTCGAGGCAGGTTGACATGGCTTTACCTTGTAATCATAGTTTATTATTTCTCTAGACCATAACAATGGTGCAATCGTATATGCAGCCTTATTTTTGTTTGTTTCATGAATACCTTTGTTGTTCTGTAATTTTTTTTTATTTTTATGTTTACATGTTGATTCAAAGCTTATAATAGCCTATTTAATGGCAGGTTCCTATTGTGACAACTTACCCCATATAATGAGGCGGCATGCATATGGAATTACTACTCGGTCAATGTCGTAAAATGTGTTTGATGAACTGCAGGATATTTATTTATTTATTTTTTCAAGGAAATAATTGGAAAATGGTTACAAAAAAAAGAACCTAATAGACTCATAATCTAGGGTGATAGATAGATAGATAGATAGATTTCAAACGTGTTTATGTTTTGTCTTGCTTACCTGACCACTCCATACATCACTAGGATGTTTCCCAAGAGTCCCACCACGCAGATAACGGAGTAAAGAACAGTGATGGAAATGGCGATGATGATTCCCGCGGGGCTCTTTACCGGTTTAGGCTCGGTGTAGTTCCTCCCGTCGGGAACGAACCCCATCACGTCGTCAGGAAAAGTGACATTAAACGGGTTAATGGAGTAGAGGTCGGACATGTCGGCACCGGGGATGACGGACGGCTCCATCGCTTCAGTGTCGCTGTCCGCTCGCTCACGGACGGGCTGCAAAGTTGCGCCTCACGATTTGAACTTCTCGATCTCAAAGCGGGGGAGAAATGTAAAAGTATAATATGAGCTCGGTTTGTGCAGGAATCGTCACGAGGTTATTAACTCACGGGTGAGTGACCGTAAGAATCAAAGTTTCCCTCTGTTCAGCTGCCGTCTAACAGGTGTGAGGCGAGCTCTGCTCTCTGAACGGATCTGCGCGACGCCCCAGACGTGTGCCTTCTTATGTGAGGGAGCTGAGTCGGACTGAGGGAGAGCTTCACTACGTCAACCTGCTGGTCGGATTCCCAATTTACACTCAACTACTTATATAATGAAGCATGGGATTCATGATTGAGAAGACAGATATCTGACAGCAGCAACAGAAAAAAGGGAAGACCTGAATAGTGAAACTGCTCACAGAAAAACATGACTTAAAATATCTGCCAGTAACGGTATAGCAGTCTACAAAACAGGTGTCATTTGTGTCATTATTTTACATTTGTGTTTAAATTAGTGATGTCAAAATTAGCGCGTTAACGCAGGCGATTCATTTTTTTTTTTTAGTTTAACGCGTTAAAAATATTTAACGCAATTAACGCAGGGGGCGGGGCTAAGGTTGGCCACCCCACTCACAATTGCTGCTTCTGTCACTTTTTCACGTTTCAGACGGGCGCTCATATCAAAGCGCGAAATAAACTACGTGCATGCAATGTCGTGGTCAGTTAAGTCATGCAGTTACCAAAAAGGCTATTAAAGCTGCCTTAAAACTGTGCATGCATGTAATATATTTTATATAAGTCACATTTAAGAACATGTCTCTGAAATGGTTTTCAAAACTGTCCTGGAGCAGCCCAGCACTAGTCTCCCTCATCTAACACACCCGATTTAACTCGTCAGCTCATTCCAGTTTTTCTCCATTCTGGTGCTCAGTGCTCTGTAGCGTTGACCATACGCAACCGTTCAAACAGGAAGTGGGCTGGGTGTGAGGGGTCCAGAATGATTTTGCCAACTCTTTTACTCTCTCTGGATGAGTGCAGTTCATGGAGAGTGGTTGTACCAGTGATTCGCCCAGTAGTCCGGACTATCCGCTGTAGTCTTCTGAGGTCAGTTTTGGTAGCTGAGCTGAATCAGACAGTTATAGCAGTGCAGAGGACGGATTCAGTGACTGCAGAGTAGAACTGTATCAGCAGCTCCTGTGGCAGGTTGAACTGATGAAGGAAATACAGCCTCTGATGAGTTTTCTTGGCAATGGAGTCTATGTGGAACTCCCACATAGAGATGGTGGTGCCCAGGAACCTAAATGACTCCACTGTTGCCACAGTGCTTTCCATGATGGTGAGTGGGGGAGTTCCTCCTGAAGTCCACTATATTTCCACTGTTTTGAGCGTGTTAAGCTCCAGGTAGTTATTTTTCTCTACTTTTCTCTACTAAACATCACTGGTTCCTACAATGTTGTTGTGTGGTTGCTAGGATGTTCTGGATGGCTGCTATGACATTGCTAGGTCGTTATTGGGGTGGGTTTTTACTGTATGGTTGCCAGTCTGCCAAAGTCAAAAGAGTCCAACCTCAAGTCTGGTTATGCTATTATGCTATTCTGGTCTCATATGGCTCAGATCCTTCCTTCTCTGTAAGTTTAAGCATTTTTGTTTTTTTTCTATTTTTCTCTACTTTTCTCTACTAAACATCACTGGTTCCTACAATGTTGTTGTGTGGTTGCTAGGATGTTCTGGATGGCTGCTATGACATTGCTAGGTCGTTATTGGGGTGGGTTTTTACTGTATGGTTGCCAGTCTGCCAAAGTCAAAAGAGTCCAACCTCAAGACTGGTTATGCTATTATGCTATTCTGGTCTCATATGGCTCAGATCCTTCCTTCTCTGTAAGTTTAAGCATTTTTGTTTTTTTTTCTTCTTCTTCTTTCACCTTTTTCATCCAAAAATATTTTAATAAAATGACTCACTAACACTTCCATTGCCAATGTGTCTGAAAGGCCTTCTTATTGAAAAAAATATCTGAATTGTAAGACCCTATAAAAGAAGAGAATTGACTAGCAAATAAATGAAGATTGTACCTCCTTGACTGGCTTGAGAATTAATGAAAAACAGTACAAACAGGTACAAAATCTATCTGCACCCCATTATTCACTGTCAAGTAATGTTATCATCCTTGATTTTTGCCTTTTATTCAAGACTGCATTCAAGGTTTGAATCTTGAATTTAATTTATCTGTTAACAACATTGTTTCTATCTTAATCATTGCATTCAGATGATAAATGTCATATCCTTTATCGTTATTGGCTTGAATGAGCAGTGACTGCATCATTGTCATTTCAGCCATGACAATGATTAGTTCGGCCAATCTGGGAGATTAGTCTAACATTTCCATATAATGTTCAGTGATTTATTTCTCCAGTCTGAGAGACCATATTGTAGCATTCTATATACATTATATAAACCATGTGTGCCTCACTAAAAAATCAAATTACACTTCAAATACATTTTTCCCAAACATGGGGTAGTTTTTAAAACATTTTAGGTAGTTTTTTTATAATGCTGATCTATGTGTAAGTGTTCGTTTCTCTAACAAGTTTGCGTTTAGTTAGTTATTTCATGCTGTAAAAATGTGGTATCATGATTGTGAGCTTGCGATTGGGTCTGCGGGAGTTTGGGTGGGACTTTGGTACCACGGCTTCAAATGAACCATTATTGCATAGACTCAGGCTCCAAATGTATCACTATACCCTGCAGACTCGGGCTCCAAATGAGTCACTATCGCACAGACTCGGGCTCCAAATGAATCATTACCGTGCAGACTCAGGCTCCAAATGAATCACTACCACGTACAGTAGACTCAGGCTTCAAATTAATCATTACTGCGCAGACTCGGGGACCATAGAAAGACGTGTGCCTTAATATTCAGATTAGTTGTCAACAAATATGAGTTTTCAATGGAAGATTCTTAGTCAGTGATATGTGGTTAGATCCTTGCAAACTAATAGTTATTTATGATTACTAACTTTAAGCCTATCCATTATGCGGCACCCAAACAAATGTGACCAAACCACATATAATATTTTCAAACCTTTCAAACGCCATCCAGTGGGGGCGATTCTGAATCCTCAGGTTGCTACGTTTACAGAGCAGAGTTCTGGGTAATAATGGCTGAATTAAAGTGTAATAGTGTTTCTTCCTTCTCCTCAAACTGTCAGATGAAAAGGACTTGCGCTGCTCTACTGCACTGGGTATGATAATTTTTTTCTGTTAAGTGCAACAATTACTAAATTGTCTCAGAAACAAAAAGCTTTTAATGTCACCGTGACAACAAAAATGACTTTTGAAAAATAAATGAAAAATGGATGTATATCATTGCCAATGAGATAACAGACTCAGTAAGAGATGTTCACAATTATGCAACGTTCTTATGAGAGAAGCTTGTTTGTTAATGCTTGGATACTCGCGTAGTGATTTAATCAAACCCCTAAAACTATTAAACATCAGCATGTGCTATACTGTGCATCATGCAGTACATGTATAACACTTCAGATTGTGCATCTGGTTGAAGGGAGATGAGCTAATTTATAAGCAATCATACTTTTCATTATAAAGTGGTGGAAAAAATCCTTAAACAAAAGCAGGGTCTTCAGCCATATAGAATAGCATGGTGAATTGGGAGTGGATTTCTTTGACATGAACCATTAAGCAACCATCCAGAAAACCCCTAGCAACCACTCTCACCTTAGCAACATACAGTAGCAATGCTTTGCGAGCACCTCTCACATTTGACATATTCTTTCACTAATCTAAAAATCTAGTCTTATTATTATAGATCATGTATGTATAATGTCGGGGGAAAAGTATTGAGGCGGAACTCACGGTGTAGCAGCTGTACGGACTCAGACGTATAAGGGAGAACACTAAAGCGAAAAAACATAGGCTGAATCCGAAATTACCCCCTATACCCACATTCACTATTCCCTACATTAGGTCACTAATAGAGTTCACTTGAAGGAGTAAATGAAAACAAGTGAGTGAATTCTGACACTGAGTGCACCGGAAGGACTGCCGCTTTTGCATGGTGTGTGCTTGCTGTTTAATAATCATTTGAAACTGGCAAACTGGTAGCTCTAGTAGTAAGATTAAAGGATTTATCTTGACTCTGTCAAGAAAATTATGCATAAACCCTAATTAAACAATTTAATAATCAATTTACAATGAATGTATACCTGCATCGTATTACGCTGTACACCTTGGATGAATGCTTTGTAAAATTAATGAATGATGGATGATTTAGCACCAGGCACCATCTTCTGGCGAGCTGCGGCAATTCATTCAGCACACGACTCTCACAGTGCATTGTTGGTATTCTCTAGCCATTGAGCATACATCAGTTGTACACTCGTTATTGCTGTGCATTGGGGGCTGAATGAGTGCACTCAATAATGTCCACTAAGATTTCAGACACCACTAAAAATGACTGTCCACTCAAAAATTGCCAAGTTTAAGGGTATAAGGGGTGATTTCGGACACAGAGTCAGTTCGCGTGCCACGCTATGGACTGGCGTTCACTCATGTTTTATTGAAAGTTGTTTGTGGAGTATGGGTCCTAAATCGGAACTTCGGACTGAGTGACATTAATTCTCCACGATTGAACTGCACTGTTTGAAAATGCCGTTGTGGTAAGCGGCGGTAGTTTTAACTGTATAAACCGCTGCATTCTGCTTATGATGAACTAAGTTGAAATGTCTGCAAAGCTAAGGGGTTCATGTGTTTTAAATGGATTATGTGAATGCTTTGATGGACTTGGTGGACTGTAAAGGTATTTAATTTTAATGAAAATTTGAAACGGTATATAGATGATAAATTGAAACATTGTGTTTACAACATAGAGATAATAAGTGGGAAGAAGAGATTAAGAATAAATTTCAAAAGAGCAATTTGTCCTCCTGGACAGCTGCACATAGCTCTACGCCTACTGTAATTAGTGGCCGAGCAGGGAGTCCAGGGGTCATGTCTCAAATGTCTCAGGCTACTGCTGTAAAGCTGCCTATTCGTTTGGATTTTCCTCAGTTTGGTGACGCAAGAACATCCGCTGATGTTACAGATTTTATTGAACAGTGTGAAAGTTTTTTTGTCTCTTCAGCCAATGAGTGACCAAGAGTTATTAGGTCACATGAAA